TTGTTGCTGCCACAATTTTTCCAAAATAAAGTAATAAGTAATAAATAAGATTCCAGTTTATTGCGTTAGAAAGTTACGTCAATGAGTCTGAGAGTTGAGATTATCGAACAAATAAACATTCAAGTTAAATAAAATGAATAGAAACCGGTAGAAAAATGCTGCTTCGTTTTAATCGCTTCTCAACAGTTTTTGGAGAGAAATTTATAAATATTTCTTTCCTTTTGTGGTTTCTTTAGCAACAAATAATCAGAAAGTTAGAACATTTCGAGTATATTTGTTTACAATACACAATACACGCATACCAGCAGTGCATAATATGACGGTGAAAACATTAAGCTGCTACTTCCCTAAGTTGTCATCGCACAATTTTAGGGTTGCTTCGTTTTAATAAGGGTGTTCTGATGACGCAAAAATACATGGAGCTTCGAAATAGCCGAGTAGCAACCAAGTAAAAGAAAAGTTTTAGGTTTGAACCTACAATTTTGTCATTGGTAGTCACGAAACTCATACTTCTGGGCTAAGCTAACACTAATGGCTAGTCTTATTCAAACTACTCACGAAACAGAATCGAACAACCGATATCATCAAAGAATCATGAGCGCAAGTAGTATCGTGACACAAACCGAATTCAGTAAAATAGTCGATGAGTATGCGAAAACTTGCCATGTCAGTCGGTTCCTTTACCTCTGTTCTTAAAGACACAACATCGAAAAAAACTTAAAAAGTGATAGAAATCGTATGTATCGGCATGATTCTTAAGTGGCTCGACTAACACATTTAGGTTAATATAGTTGCCCGTACAAAAGACACTGGTCAACTCAATGTGAACTAGTACCAAAATATCTGGACTTTGCAAAATGACGTCGAGTAGAGTCGCAAGGAGATGCACATGATAAGACGCATCACAGTGTTCGGTACTGGTTAAAACAATCGGATTGAAAACTGTCCAACACCTATACGAATTGCTGCTCCAAAAATAAGCCGAAACACGTCAAAGGTCAGTCATTATCAAGAGTCGCATTCTTATCGTACGTTATTATTATGTACATGACTATGATTACCATAGACTCGTTTCAAAGGGTTAAACCAGTCAATCAAGGAATACTATTGGCAGTCTTGAGGTCTACGTTGAAGCAATTAGTCGTAAACGATCAGATTTAGAGCAGAAAATTCATCGATCTTCCACGATAATTGCCGTTGCCTTTAGCCTGATGGTAGACCACTATTTTAGACCACGCAGACGAGTATCCCGTTTATTACCGTATTTCGCCAGATATTGGCCTCTGCGATTTTTCCTGTTCATACTAAACTCAAAAATCCGCTCTGGGTAATTGCCATGATATCCATTGATCAATCTAAAGTCATTCGCAAAGACACTGAAGGCTAATGACCCGCAGCGTTATTAAAATTGGAAATTGGTTTAACACGTCTGATGCTGGCTAAACTCAGAAATAACTATTTGGAGGCGATAAATATCAATTAATATTTAAAATACGTAAACATATGTTGTCTTTAATCAGTCCGTTCTAATTGGACATCATACCTTAAATATACAATAGTAATAAATTTACTTAAAAATAACTAGTGAAAGGCTCGGTTAGGTTTTCAACCTTTCGCTACTAGGGAATATGAATTACCGTTGAAACACCGGCCTTGTTCTGATAACATGTTAAAACTCTTAATAGGTACATAAAACCATCTGCCCACAAGGCTTGAGCTCTATTCCAAATCTATTTGAGAACGCCTTTATTTCGATTAAAGTTAGTTCCCAGCTTGTTTCAACTTAGTTTGCATACGATTGTCGTAGTTTAGAAAAGAGGCTGTCGACATGATACTACTCACCCAACATAAACTTTTGATATTTTATATTGGTGCTCATAATAGCGAATCGGTTCCTAAAATAATTTGTTTCGCATGGATCTGATTTAAAATTTCGCTTTAACTGACAGAATTGTTTCAGTTATTGACAGAAAACCTATTAGCTGACTGAATATTCATCAGGAAACAACGATGAATGATCTCAGACTCGAAACAAACTCACCCCTGACGCTTCACAGCTTACTTGTCAACCAAGCTCTTGAAATTAGACTTCAATCAGATTGGACTTAATAAATAAACGCTCAATTAAATAAAGATGTTCTATTAATTTGATCTACTCATATCCTAAAGCGCTTCCCACGACATTTCTTAATATCTTTTGGTATGGCGTCTAATTTCACTTTGGATAACATGATGCGGATAATTAGAGACGATAATTGCTAGAAATGAAAGTCAGTAAATTCATTCTCCGGATTTTGAGGTTTTTCTCGTATGTACGTGTAGTGTCTGTGTACTTCAACACTTTACCTTAGCGACGAAAGTTATCTTTTATGTCTGATATACTTGATATATCAGAACATAATCTGTTAACCCTATAATAAAATGGTGTTTATTGGAAGCAATCTACCTCCTGATAATAATTGGAATTTGCAATTTTGGGTTTTGTCTCTTAGAAAAGATTTACCTATCATGTGACTCAAACCATTTTGCGTCAATTACATCACAAGTTATATATCTCAGGGGTACCAAAAATAACTTTTTCATTTCTTGGTACTTGAGAAATTGTTGAATAGCCATATCACTAAGAAAGTCTATCCAAGTATATGCTATATTTTACTGGAAAGGTTCCTCTTCGTTTTTTCATTTCTTCTATTAAACAGATAGAAAATTGATATAACGCTTGCACTACTTGGAAACATATTTCCATTTTTGATTATGTTTGAAATTAATGCTTTTTAAAAGATCTAATGCGATTATTTCCATACTAAGCGGTTCAAAAGTTATTAACGCTGATTTGACTATTTTAATGCAAATTGTTTTGTTTTGACTTTTTACTCAACTCAATAAACAAAACCGTAATTTTATATTGCAAGCCGATATTTTTAGAAATTTTCTGTCGTGCAAAATGAAGTTTAAATTTTAATTAGTTAAACATTTGCATGATATTCATCACAAATCATGTTATCACAGGAAACAAAACAAAAACTAACAAACAAAAGAGAAAGAGAAAAAGCAAAAACCAGACTTTGCCTTGAAATAGTCAAAATGTAGACGTAATTATCATTAACTATTTAATTAATTATTCAATATAATAATTAATCGTTAATATCATATATAAAGGAAATATGTTCTCAGGTAAACAATAAACGACAATAAAACAAAACAGTATTGTACAGGCGCAGGTTCCGTTACAATTAAGAGATCACTTGATAGAGGTTTTAGATGAGCTTCTACAACTAATTTTTCAGGGATAACCCCGAAAAAAACAATTTAGTTTTTTTTTTTAATCCACCCTTATCTATCTCTCTCTTTTG